GATGTAGGTGATGGGGAGGAAGGCAGCAAATCACACTGCCACGTGTGTTCCTATGCAACAATTTTGCATGTTCTTCACATGTACCCCAAAACCTAAAATGCAATAAAATAAATGGGGAAAAAAAACATAAAAATAAATAAAAAAATAAAATCTATCATAAAAAAAACTAAACATAAAAAAAAATGCTATGGTAAACAACAGCATCAAGAAAGTCTGTAATAAAAATTGAAAGTGTATTTGCAGAAGACACAGAGGATTTCAAAAAAAAATTAAAAATATTTTTGCTATTGAATTTCAAAATTTCCCAATTTAGAAAGCCTAGTAGACAAACATTCCAAAACAGAACAAGCACAGTGATGAGGGTGATTCATTTGTTTTTATAAGTTCTCTGCAAATAATTATTTCTGAAAATACATCCAAAGCCCACCATCAGTGTGGGGCAATGGGGAAGGAGGTCTTTGTCTTTTGCTCAGCAGGGACCTCTAGGCTAATATGTCTTCCCACCCACGATTGCCACACCACATGGTTCCATGCTTCAGTGCAATTTGGCTTCACATATTGTTAATCATTTCAGCATTCACAGTCTCCTTGAAAAGTCCAGCTGAAGGGGCATACTGATTCATATGGCTTAAAAATATCCTTGCAATTCAGAAGCTATTTTTTTAGTAAAGGCAAGAAGGAAGGAGCATGAAGAAACCATTAGATACATCTGGATTCTTCTACAATACCCACTTCTATGTTTTCCTGTATCTTTGTCTTTGTTCCATATCAGAGCAAATACAATAGCAAAAGGTTGTGTAGACCCAAGGATACTGATTTCCTTGACGATTTCTTAACCCGGTGTGAAGAGACATGCAGAAAGTCATAGAAAAATCATTTCATAGCAGATAAACAAGCCTTCAAACAAAATAGCACTAGAGACAAAAGTAAAGTCATTGACAGGGATAAAGATAACTTTTAAGGTCATATAAATAATATCTGAAGTTCAGATTTTTGTGGTATATGAATCATTATCTTTAGTAAATATTGTAAACCTTCTTTAAGCTGATTTTTTTACTCTGAAACCCAAAACATGTTTATTTATAAAATAATTATACATTTTTCCTCAGTCTGATACTGACAAAATCCTGTAAGCACAAAATGAATTAACAGCTAACTAGTAAGTCTTTATGACTGACACTGTCCCATGAAACAAAGCTTATCTGTTTTATTTCATTTGATTTTGACTTTCCTTTTTGCAATGATAAACTTTATAACTTTATAAATGATTACATTATGAATTTTTATAATTTTTTTTCTGGAAATCCCAAAATACCTGAAACTCAATTTTAGCCTTATCTTATTGCATTGATGATTTGCACATATTGTGACTTTTGGACACAAATAATTTCTTTTGATATTTTTGTAATCACCGAAATACATATCTGAGGGACTCAGGTTGGAATATCTTGAAATCTGCTCTGGCAATTTAAAAATGTTCTAGACATATTTGTTTCTTCTATGGTCCCAACAAATTCCAGTTGTAAATAAAACTTTTCTGTCTTACATTACTAGTACTAGAAATTATATTTTAAAGTTTCTTAAATTGGTCACATCATGGGTATAACTACAGCCCATGTAAGAGATAATTTTTTGATAATTAAAACAACGGAAACTGTATTCCTTAGACGTTAATTGGTTCTTCACACAATTCTGTGCCAGTGCATATCAAAAATAAAATGTATAATATATCCTTTAACCTACAATTTCCCTTATCAGATACATTTACGTTAAGTATTAATGGAAGACTATAAACAAATGTACTTATACAAGTTACTCATTACAACATTTCCTACAATCAAGAAAAGTTAGAAGTAACCTGAAGGACCATCAGCGGAGAGATGATAAATAAACTTCAGTATGCTTACATTTCAATTGAATACTATGTTAAAATAAAAACAAAGTAAGTTTACCAATGCTAAAATTTAAAAAGCGTACAACATTGTAAACACAACCTCATAAATGCAAAAGCAAATCGTAAACACCACATAGAGGATAATTCCACTTGTGTTAAAACAAGAACTATATAATATAATAAGAACACATTTTATTCGCATGTCTTCATTTATGCATGGAACATGAAATCTAGGAGGATATATACCAAATGTTAATCATTGTTAGCAGTGAAAAGAACATGGGGAGAAGAGGAAACTTTCTATCTTTGGACTGCTGATCACAGAACAATTCTCATATAATTGCTTTATACAATTTTGTACTATTTATTTTTTAATTGGCATTTTTAAATATTATAACAGGCCAGGTGCGGTAACTCACGCCTGTAATCCCAGCACTTTGGAAGGCTGAGGCGAGCGGAGCATGAGGTCAGGAGTTTGAGACCAGCCTGACCAACATGGTGAAACCTCATCTCTACTAAAAGTACAAAATTAACCAGGTGTGGTAGTGGGCACCTGCAATCCCAGCTACTCAAGAGGCTGAGGCAGGAGAATCACCTGAATCTGGGAGGGTGAGTTTGCAGTGAGCCAAGACTGCATCATTGTACTCTAGCATGGGCTACAGAGTGAAACTCCTTCTCAAAAAAAAAATTACAGCAAAACTTTCAGTGTGCTATTTTCCCCCTTAAAAAACATTCAGACTTAGCTCCTCACTCTTACACATCATGGATAAGGAGCAACAGCCCGTCAACACCTCTAGGGTTCCGGCTTCACTTCCCTCATTCTTTAGGGAAGCAGTTAAAAACAATAACAAACTTTTCACAGCTTTCAGAGGCTTCTCATCAGTCTTTGATTCTTAGAGAGATTCTGACTATATACTCTTGGCATACATTCCAGTTTATTAAAGTTTCATTAAAGAAAGGATCACAGTAGTTGGGAAGAGATTTATAATGAGGTGAATTTCCAACTTTAAATGTAACAAAATAGACCTTTAGGTAAGCTACTTTTCAACTGGACTACAATAAATTGGTATAGTTTTTACATTAATCGGATGCGTGTCTTTTAACTATGTTCAGTATGTTTAAATACAGTACATTTTCAGATAGCTTTAAAATCTCCAAGGATATGGACACACAATACTTTATTCTGATAACACAACAAAGCAAGAAGGTAGAGGAAGAAAGAATCAGAAACCAACTTACAGGTAAGAAAATCTAGCTTCTAAGAAGGCATATCTAAGATCCCAGTGAAAGAGACTAGGAGGTTACAGAGACTACAAGTGATAGAATTGGAAATTAAGTACAGTTTTTATTTTTGACTTCAAATTCAGTGCAGCTTTTATGATACACAATCATCTCTGTAAGATGAGCATTCTTCTCCAACACAATGCTATGAAATCGGTTGTTCATTCATTCATTCAGCTATTTCAGTGTACATTTTTATTTTCTTCATTTTATCCTACTAATCACAATGCATGTCTTTTCATTATCAGATATTTGTCAGTGAGTCACATTGATGTTCTTTCATGGGTAAGGCAGGCAAAGTTTATTTTATGCTCGTCTTTGATGATTCATGTCACTATTCCTCCTATGTAATATGAGTCTAAACTATCTATCCTGTAGTATCCACATGCTTATGCAAACACAGGGAATTTGGGTTTAGGTTCCTGATTGTGGCTAAACATGCAGACTGTACCATCAGCCTGGGTTCAAATTCTGACTCTGCCATTCACTAGCTGTATAAATGTGGATAAGGTAATATTGCCCATCAGTTTTCTTATTTGCAAAATGAGAACAATAATAATGTACATTGCATGAGGTTACTATAACGGTTTAATGAGATAGAAGATGCAAAGCATTTAGAATGGTTCTTGGCTCATGGCGAGTGATCAGTGAATGTGAGCTATTATCATTCAAAGTGTATGCTGGAAAAATATATTGGTTCTAACCATAGGCCATCTGAAAAAACTCTTTTCTGTGGCAGTGGGCTGGCTCTCCGTTTTTGTAGGAGTACATTCTGTACCTTAATCACACAGAAAACTACTCAGCAACAAATACTGATGCTTACATTCCTGTCAACTAATTAAACCCTGAGAATGTGCCTGCACATTTGACATTTGAGAGGGAGCACCCATCCCCTGTACTCCTTCATGGATTAAGTTAGGCTATCCCAAAAGTACAGAAATAAATCATATTATCTTAGTTCCTCAGAGACACGTGATTCGCCGCTGAATAAAAAATTTAAGAGAATATCCTTAGCTTTCTTATGTGGTAGTAATAAGCAAGTAATATTGTCCTTTGCACTAGTGATGCTTGAAGTCCTTATACTTTTTTCTCTCTGAAGTCCTTACATAAGGACTGCATTAAATTTGCTCTGAGAATTCATTGCCAATAAAATGTCCGTCTTGAAAATTTAAAAGCTTTCTTCTTTGTCACACACTAGATAATTTAACATTTTCTTTTTTAGCCCTAGTTGTCTGAAAATTCTGCATTAAATTAAGAGCTCAACTGCAATAACTAACTCATCCCAGATGAGCAGCCAGTGTATATTTTTCTTCCATTTTTTTTTGTCCAGCGAAATTTTAATTTTTTGTTGTCATTTTAAAGTTGTGTTTTATCATGTATGCCACCTTGACGCTTTTCTCAAAAACAAGTATAAAAAAGTACACTTCGTTAACATGCAGTGGTAATAAATTCATTTTTTTGTCACCTTGTTATTCAATTGCTCATCTAGCATTATTGAGCACTAACTTTGCTATGCATAAGGAAAATAATAAAGAACTAGACAACATGCAAGTCCTTAATTTCTTTAAAGTGGTTGTAAGGAAATAACATATTGAGGAAAAGTACTGTTTTCAGAATAAATAAAAGTATGAAATGTATGTTATTAAAATTATTTCTCTGAAACTCTGTTAATTCATTTCCTTTAAAAACTGCCTTTTACTCTGTGAATATAACATGAATCTTTTTTAAACATTTATATTAAAAATAACACAATTAAGTGAATGAAAAACCTTTCACACAAATAATCTTGGTTGTATACATATTCCAAAAATATTTAGAAGATTTTGGAACTATTCAGAACTGTGATCAGAACTTCAGGACATTCCTTTGAATGTTCTCAGTATTACCAAATTTCATCTTTGAAGGTGAATAATTTTGGTGGGTGGAGATAAACAAAAGTCATTGAGAGTCAAGACGTGAAGTCATCATTATAAAATCAATCAATGCCAAGAAGAGTTCTAAAAACATTTTGAACAACATTCTAACAACACTGCATTTAATTTAATGAATGTAGGTCTTTTATCCCCGCCAGTTTAATAGCTTGGACTTATAGACTTTATTATGGTGAATTCTGAAACTTTGCTTAAAATTGAATAGACTTTACGAGGATACCTCATAGCCTGTGCTACAGAAGCTCAGAAAGGAATGATTCTCTACTTGCTTTTATAATGTAATTAGTCAACTTAGTTTCTTCCTTCTCCACCACTCAAAGAGCAAGTTTCTAAATAATAAGATTCAGTCATAGCTCTTAAAAACCTTGTATTCTGGAAAAACCTTGTGCAAATCCCAAATTGCTAATTGCATGCATAAAAGCCCTAGGATGTCAAGAAAAGAAGAAATGATAAGTTGCTTTCTGCAACATGCTGACATAAATAATAACAGCTGCCATTTATTACATCTGCACCTTAGCCAGATGTGTTATGTAAATTATCTCATTTAACACAGCCAACGTGGGCCAATACGTATTTATACTTCCTCATTCTTAGATATGGAAACTAAACTTCAAAGAGTTACCCAAGATTACACAGCTACTGACTGCCAGACCAAGATTCCAAACCAGGCCTGATTTCAAAGTCCCTCGCTCAACACCACCACCTGTTACCAGACTAAAGTGCTCCTCCTGTACAGATCTTAACCATTTCTGCCATGGGAAAAGCTGGTAGGAAAGAAAATAGACTGGCAGGACTTCAGATTAAACATGGTTTGTGTTTCCTAAGGAATTTAGGAATTGAATTTCCTAAGAAGGCTGTTACACTCACTTAACCATGTCTCTTTGAAACGGATAAACAGCAGCTGGGAAAATACTTTTCTTACAGACGTATTCTATATGCATCAGACAAATAAAAAGACCCTCAACTCCAGATGTTAATGTAAAATTATCCAGATGCTACAAAATGATCAGAATACCAGAGGCAAAAGAAAGCCAAGCCGAAAATTGATTTCAAAAAGAGAAATCAAAGTGGAGACACGAATTTGTATTTTTGCTAAGTTACAGAAGACTGGTTATTTCTCTATTCTTTTTTAGTACACACATGTGGAAAGATCTCTCTTAAATGATAAAATAGAGTTGCAAAATTGGGAGTTTCCTGGCTTGAGTAATTAATGCACAGTTTTCTGGGCAACATTCTGGTGCTTTTATAACATTTTGCTTCTGTGTTGTTTTTGGATAGAGGAAGTATAGGTCTCTGAGGGTGAAATGAAAAACATAGAAGTCATTGTCATACAAATAATTTGTGTTATTAATACTCATGTGGATTTTAAAATTTTAATCTAGAATAATATGTTATCATTTAGTTATAGATTTTTCTGGGATTTAGGTGTAGCTCTAGTACATAAATGAAAGACATATGCAAATCTGACAGAATTCTAAGCTAGTTAGTTCACTAATCAGAATAGTCAAACTAAACAAGTCAGTTCCCACTTTCAACTTCCAGGCATGATTTATCTGATTTGGCTGACTGCGTAGAAGACCATAGATTTATGCTTATGTGATGTAACCTGAGGTGCGGGGAAACGTAAAAGGAATAAATCATGGCCCCCTCCCTCATGGAACTCAAAAGCTTTTAGCAATGCCTGGTAAGCAGTAGTATATTTCAACTGCCTAATCATGCAAGAAAAGACATTGGGAAAAGGTTTTATGTGAAATGTCTGCATATAAAATATAGAGTTTTTTAAAAAACCAAATATAGAAAACATTCATTCTTATTGCTGGGTTTAAAACAAAACAAACAAACAAGCACCCGTTTATTTGTATTCCTATCTCAAGAAACATCCTTTTGGTAGTTTTCCTTTAGGGAATGGTATGAGTTATAATCGTTTCAATGGGAACTAACAAGAATGTCATTTAGTTTTGAATCTTTTGTTGTTCTTTAACCTTGCAGTCTTCTAATAGGATGACTTGTTTACTCTTGTTTCTGCAGCTGTGAGTTCTGGACGGAGTTGTAGTGACATTATTTTTCAAAATAACCCCAAATTCTCTTTCCAGATCAGAATATCAATGCATTGTTTGGTTCTGCATATATTTTGCTGATTACTCTTGACCTAATTATTTTCTATCTGTTCCACCTTGATTTGTATCTATCTTATGCTGTACAAGTTCTCTTGGAACTTTTTAATATATAAATATCCTATTTGATCAGCATCCAATTTTGGAGTCCAAAGTCTAAAGGGCCTGAAGATTCTATTTCTTTATTATCTTAAAACAAATTTTAGTATCCTTGGAAGCACTGACATCAGCTCCTTTTCACAGTCTGCCTTTGTTCGTTTGTTTTTCTTTAAATCAAAATCTCATTTGGCTAAAACATTACCTGTGTTATTTTCAACTAAAGGAAGTTAGGCACCAACTGTGCTATTTTCCAGTGATAGGGATGAAATTTTCTGAACTATCTCTCCTCTGAGTCCTAATGTAGGGCCATGACCAGGGAAGGGCTAAGGATGACGGTTATTCCTGGACTCCCCTCTCTAGGGTGCCTCAAAGACACTGGTGAGCCTTGGCAAATTTCAGTAGAGTGTTTGTACAGGTAGAAGGGTGTACACACTTTATGTTGCCCAGGACACTACTCCTCCTCATTTTGCTACTGTCTTAATGATTATCTTACTAAGAACATTGTTTGTAGTCCTCTGTCTATGTTACAGGCTCTTTTTGTGGTCATGCAGTTTTTGTTTGTTTGTTTTGTAGTTGTTTTGCCTATATTTAAATGGTCCTTGTTGCTTAATGGAATCAAATAGTAGGGGCTATGTCATGGCACCCAGATAACGAAATGTTAGTGCTGAAGACAAAACTAGTTACTTGGCTTTTGGCTTTTCTGTCTGCCTTAGGATTCCATCAGTTCTCAGACGCTTTTGGCTAGCTCTACTCTCAAGAAAAATGTGTGTGCTTTTATTAGCATGGAACATCATCGAAACATCCATATTCTGCCAACTGGATTTATTTACGACAAGAACTTAATTCAGACATTACTCCCAATTGTTTTGGGAATTATTAAAAGATTGTCAATGGAAACATTTACAAAAACACTGGAGAAAATGAGGGGTGAACACACTGCAACTCTAGCGACAGAGACTCTCCAGCTAAAGAGTGACCCCCCCCCACATTATACAAACATTGTTGGAAAACAATTATAAAACAGGATGTATTATATAAACAGTAAACTAAAACTCCAAATGTTTCTATTCCTTATGCTGCTGAACATCTTTCTTTTTATTTTAACATTTACTTAGTCATAATTGTTATAAAGGGAAATAGTTCTGTCTAAAATCTGTTTCTATGACATGTTTCTGCAAGGCAGGTGTTTTGTATTTGTTTTTGTTTTCCCTAAGTGTAAGTTTAAAATGTAATTTTCTCATAATGACACTGTTTTACAGTTTTATACAAGCAGCCTCTCTACTCAATTTACTCAGTTATTCAATAGGTGAAATAGTCATGGTGACTCAAGGCAATTGCTAGGAACGTGGCCTGTCTCCCATCACTCCCTTCCACATTTTCTATGTGGCAACCATTCAGTTCCCTAGACAGGCCACTACCATTTCTCTCTCTCTCTCTGTAAGCTTGTAACCAAGACGTTTCTGTGCTAGACATCTTTTCTCTGACTTATTTCATCTCTTATCTAATCCTCCCAAAGCATAATTTCCATTATTCCCTGCACCTAAGACAGTGTTTGTCATAAAGGCAGTGCTCGATATTTATTCATTGAAAAAAATATCTAAACATTGAGGTCTACTCAATCGCTATATATATCCAAGAAACTTATTCATGATATCAAATCATTTGGTGGTTAAACTGAAACTGTATTCCAGCTCATTTTTGTTGTCCTATGTTTTTTGTAATGTATTTGCTTAGTACTGATTAATGTGTGAGCTGGTCTTCTTCAGCTAATTCAACACAAAAGTTTATCTTTCTATAACATAAATGGATGCAACATAATGAATTGAAATAATGGGAGAGAAAAATGTCTTTATTCCACTAAAATAACAAACTAATGTGGAGATAAAAAATAAAGCAAAAATAAATTATTCTTATAATTTTTCCTTCAAAAAGCAATAGGGGATTTTTTCCCTTGACACAATCTAAGAATTTTTACCAACATTCTTGCAATAAAGATAGTTTATCCTGAAAATATTAATGGATAAGTGCTGCATGTGGATGTCAGGTTTTAAAATATGGAAAATGTCCCTAAAAGTGTCCACTGTCTCTCCTGAGACAATGGACAGCTACACATGTGATTATGCTATGCATATAAGGGTAATAGAGTGTGTCTGTGTGGAAACACAGGTATATACATACATGCTTTATATTCTGTAAGCCAAAACAACACAGTTCCCAAACTTACTACTGGTAACCTATATACCACCAACTTTCATGTAGTTCCTTATAACAACTAATGTAATGCCTGATTAGGAGTATAAAAATATTATTTACTATTTCCCCCTTCCCCACAAAATTTAAAAAGAAATGCAGCATGACTCATGTTTAATTTAATATTCACCACATTACTAATTTGGTAAAGAAAAGGCCTTCACAAAATAAATTACTGTACTTATAAATCATTCTTTCAGTGAAAGGACTTGCTTGATTTCCCATTGATGCTTTTGCTAAAATACTGTGTACATCTGAGATTATACTTAGGACAGTATTTCTGCAAGTATTTCTATTCATGCTTTGGCATATATTAGTTTAAACCATATGAAATTGCATTTTTATTGACTAAAATAGTCAAATATTGGCGATTTCCCATGGCTCAACATAATAATAGTAGGCCTGGTTTCAAAAGGCACTTATAATTTGAATAAGGAAATAAATAATTCTGATTACTGAATGAAGCTAAAGAACAAATTTACACAAAGGAAATATAATTTTCTAACTTATAGTCTTGCCAGGACTGCCATTTTCCTTTGTAGAATAAGTATCACAGGGTTTTTGTTATCCATGATTAGAATTCAAATTACATGTCTTATGTACTTCCCAGGTAGCAGAATTGAGCAACATTATTAATTGACGTTTTTCCAACGAAAATATTTGGCTGTAGTCAGTCTGCTATGGTGCACAATAGTACATATCCTCAGGCTAGAATACTTTGCTATATATTTTTCTCTAGTTTTCACTTAATAGCAGGGACCTAGTAAAGCAGCTCCTGATATCTTTTTAAGTTTGTTTGTAAAGTGTAATCATAACCATTTCGCTCCTGGGTTACTTGTCTCAAGGATTTTTGATGATAGCTCTAGTGTTGAAATAGATTCCCTAAGGATCAGAAGCTTATTTTAATAGATTCAATATCATTTGTCGTATTTTCCAGTTGCAATAAAGATAATAGTACATTATCTTTCCTGTGTAAATCTGATTAACTGACACACCTTTGGGTTTTCCCAGTAGAGATGGCATTTAATTATCCACACAGTGACACACAAACTCTTGTGACCAACAGTAAATACACATTTAGAAAATGGCTGATTGGACCTAAGTATTCCATTTATGAAGTGGAATGAGTATAAGGTTTGCCATCAGAAGATCTGGACTGGACCAGAGATTAGTGTTGAACATTTACCACAATGTGACCTCAAATCAGTTCCTTAACCTTCATCTGTAAAATGAGAATAATAACAATTTGGCTTCCAGTATCTCCAAGGCTTTGGTGAGAATCAGATGGAAGAATGTATGGCAGAGTGCCTTATAACTGACACAGCACCACAGACAAATGGTTATTGCCAATATTATTGATAACACAAACAATAGTTAATCCACTAATCCTCTTCCTTTTGGTAGGGAGTCAGATTTTAACTGAAAGGCTTAAGCTCTACTTAGGTAACATAAAATAAAGCTGACAATACCCAGCAAATCTAGCATGGTCTGCCATTCCATCATGGCATGTTTGTTTGGGATTTTAGGCCTGATTATAAATGCCACAACATGAGTTTTGACAACCTCAAATTCATCTTACAATATCAAGTTCATTTAATGTTCTTTTCTTTATGTAGAGAACAAATATTGCTCCTGCTTCACAGTTTGGTCATCTCAATACACTTTAAAATTGGGGCCTGAATTATTGACAACAGTTTATAATTTTCAGTTCAGAGAACATTTTTTATAATAAATTGCAGTGAATATAAGTAGAACTTTTTTTTGCAATAAAGTGCCACCATATTTAAATACCTGTGTGCCTATCTGTACAATACTAACAATGGCCAAGAGGGAATTCTATGAAACCATACAAGAAGTAACAGACCTACAAAATGAAACCTGAAGTTTATTCATATAAAAACTGACAAGTTTTGAAAAAAAGTCCACAAGATTAGCAGTTTAATAAATCGAATGGTATTAGAGGTCTGTCTTTTCTGACAATGGGATAGATGCCGTCAATTCAGATAGAATTTTAACTGAGTGGTCAATTAATGATAAAAATAACAGAAAGAATTAGCTTGAGCCAAATGAAAGAAAAACATAATTTTAAAGTTTTGTTTGACCAAAAATGTATTTACCTGTTGGTTTACTTAATATTTTAATAAATTTAACTATAAGATGAAGAATTATTGTATCTCTGTCAAAGTAATGGGGATATAATTACCTCTAGTTTGGAGAAATATATCTCTTTTAAGTCATTCAAAACCCTCATTTCTACAATCTCACTTATGTACACAAAATGGTTAATTATGTTTCAAAAATATAATCTTACTGGTTTTAGCAGCCAATTTTAAAGACTTCATAGAAAGATTTATGTATTAAGACATTTTGGAATTTTATTTCAAAAAGTAGTTACATTACTATAATTGGTCTCAACTATGTCTAACAAAGCATTTTGTTTTCTCCTATAGAAGTGGGCAAGAAAAAGATTCCTAGAGGGCTTTCTTGTGGAGCATTAAAGTTGTGGTCAAAAACTGAAACGTATACAATGCCTGAGAAGTTCTGCAGTACATTTTGACCACACAACATGGGTTCTGTTGCTCACTTATAAAAGTAATGCATTGACTAATATCTCTCTATTTTTCCCAGCCTCCACCCTCAACATAGAACCAACAGATTCTGTATTTAAAATGTTCCTGATGAGAAATCTTGTCCTACTCATTTTGTCACTAGCCTATTTAATATGGTGTGGCCCCTGGGACATATACATACTAGCAGGTTCCATAACCATGCCTGGGAAGAAGTTAAACTCAATAAATAGACCATTCTGCAGGTATACTGGAAGTTAAATTCAAACAGTAATGCCTTATTGGATGCAAATTAAATTTTAAAAACGTTTTCTAAAGCCCTTTTTATACAGTTTCTATTGGATCTCTTGTAATGTGATTCTTATTAAAACCAGATAAGATATATGTTAGAGGATTCTTCTATGAATAAAACTCATATCACCTTCTTTATGTGTTTATGGTATTTGTTCAGTCATGAATCAACCATTTCACATAGTACAATTTTACAGGATTAACATGTCTTAGGAACTTGGGTAGCAAAAAACAAAACAAAACCTTTAAAATTGCTTTAATAATTATGCATATAAGTTATTATTATTGTCTTGGGAAGAACTGTTGGTCAGTGGATCTTCTGTATTGCTATTAGCTTTTGGGCTTTAGTATTGAAGGGAAAATGTACATTCCCTTAAAAAGGAAGATCTTTTAAGAAAAGCTGAAAGGGAGGCTACAGATGGATTGAACAGACACGGGAGTGGGGGCAGAGGGGGTGGAGTATAAAAGAATACAGGCCCTCTCTAAATGCCGGTTACGTTCATTGAGGTCTTTAAGGTCACATTTCTTATTGCCATGTAGAAGGAATGAATAAAGACACTAAAACACTAGAAAAACAAGGTTGTATTTAGACCTCGAAAGTGCAAAATAGGCTAAGAGTAAAATGATCAAAAGTAACGCAAAAAGTCAGATTTTAATAATTATTAAGCAAAAAAAATTCTAACAAGTATAAAACACAATTAAAATACATTAAATTCTGGAAAAAAAATAAAAAATATTTAAAAACACAAAAGAAATATAAAAATACATCATTTGTCAGAATAGAGCTTGAAGAAGAAAAAAATAATAAATATAAATATACCAAGATAAAGTTCTTAAAATAAGCAATTTAAAATCATTAAAAAGATAAAAATGAGCAAGATAAAGATGTTAAGAAATCAATTAACATGAAAGTAAAAAAAAAAAAAAACTATTTGATATAAAAATGAAGTAATGCATCAAAGCTGAAAGGTAAAGAATTTTTTTTAACCTAAAACAAAAATACTCAAACTCCAAAATAAAAAATAAGCAGCAGCTCAAACTCATTCCAGTGCAATCTCACATAGAGCTTCAGCAGGACCTGCTAGGAGCGGAGACTCCTGAGCCTATCGCGCTGAGCAGATTTTCTAGGAAACACTGGACACAGAAGGAAACTTTTAGCCTTGTACCTTTCTGGTGCTCTGAGAATACACTGAATTCAAATCACAGGTCCAAAAATTACTGGCTATGAAACCCTGGGAAAGTTATTTGACCCCTCTTTACTACCTGTTTCTCAGCTGTAAAATAGGACGAATATTAGCATACATGAATTTAAACATGTGAAATTCTTAGATTAACACCCTCCATATAATAAATGTGCAACAAATGCTAGCCATCCTCATTTGTTATTGTTATTATCATGGTTGCTTTTATTATTATTGTTGTTGTTTTTATTGTTGTTATTGTCTGCTTGGCCCAGGACGAACCCCACATTAGCACTGAGACCCTCACCTATTCCTTCTGGTCCTCCAAACTTCAGCAAGCTTGTGGTTTTTTGCTTCGCTTATTCTTTGATCTTGTTCAGTAGCCTCTGCCCTCCCCAGCCATGGCCCCATGTGTTATGGCTGTGTCCGTCTCATACTCCCCACTCACATTCCAGGATGAGCCAGCTCAGTCATTTCACAGTTAGGCTTACGCCAATGTTCGCTACTGAACCTTGAGAATTTACTATGATATTGTAGAGGTTAAAGAGAATATTGACATAAGATTCTAATTTGATCGTCATTATAACTATGTAAACTGGCTGCGGCACATACTAGGTAGTTTACTCTTCTTTCTGAATCCTACTGCTAATCCTTGGCAGAGCTACCTGAGAGCCAAATCCAGGTAATTCCCCGAAAGTCAGCGTACAATGTCTTTGTACCTTCTTCCACAACGCTGGGCTTCCTTACCTAGCTTAGCGGAAGCTTACCCTTCTGTTCCACTTCAGTGGATCCTGTCCCACAACACCGAGAGAACCAGGTCTCTTAAATATTGCTGTTTTCTCCTCAAGATTCCTTTCTCATTCAGTTTCCATGGCCATCTTTGTTTTTCAACAATACTGCATAAATTTAACAGGGATTTGTGGATATTTTCTGGGCATAATATATATATATATATATATATATATTTAGAGGAGTAAGGCAGTCTACTAATTGATCAACAGAACAAAAGGAGGAATATCATCCTCTTAATTTTGTCTTGGTTACAAAGATGTATTTTTTAAATATAACAATAAATTACCTTAAATGTATTATGTATTTTATGTGTTTGTCATTCCAAAATATTTCAGCCTCTCTGTGCATTCCAACCAGAGTTGAAACATTTCATATTTTAGAGGACTCCATATAAACCTCATTGTAGGGAGGTACTTTAATATTGTTGCTCCAGGTACTGACTGGCCACGTGTTGATCTAAAAAGAATTATTTTTAGAAAAAGGACGCCTGAAACCCCAAATAATTGTTTACCTAAATTTCTATTCAAAACCAATACAAATTAGTAATACTCCTCTACTTCTCCCTAAAGGAACAATTGCAAGGGTAATTGAGAAAGCCTAGGCCTTCATTTCAATTCTCTCATTTCCATACAAACTCACATGTGAAATCATGTTATAACCTTAACAATAGTATATCAAAGGAGAATTTCTGAAACATTTTTTAATACAGTCTTGAGTTTGTGTCTCTGTTCTCCAGTATTTGCAATTCTAAGGATCACCATAATGTCAGATGATGAAAAGAGGAAGAAAAATATTCTGTCTGTATATATAAAATTCTGTCACATAGGAAAGCAAAATAATATCAAAGCTCTACATACAGTTTACAAAAAAAAAAAGTATCTTCAAGATTTAATGATGGCTTCTCCAGGGATTTTTATACAAGCCTGCCATGTTTCAAAGCAAAATCAAAGTGAATCTAAGTTCCATTGAGCTGCAGTCCAGGAGAGTGAAAAGGTGGCGGTAAAAAGGAAAGGAAATCATATGTAAATCTTAAAGGTCTCCGTATAAAGAAATGGAAGAAAAATCACTATGGTAACCATGAATATTTAGTTAGCAGTCTAGTGACAATCCAAATAAATTAAAAGCAATAATCCAAGTCACAGAAAGGGAAAAGTCTCATATAACAGAAAAATATTATAATTTTAATTCTAGGATCCCTAAAGCAGTGCCATCTAGATAGCCTGTCCTCCTCAATATTATTACTGTGATTCTTCTCTCAGCTACCCCTTCGATCATCAACAATCTAGTTTTAGTTTGAAGTTTATTGGCTCAACTCAAACCTTCCAAGAGACTCAGTCCACCAAAGCCTATCATGTTTCATAACATAAAAAGTTAGTCTCTTTCTTCAGTTGGAAGTAGTTAGAATGACCAATACTCTTTCCCTAAATAACCAGTACCCTCTTCTCCTACAGGGCTCAACAAGGCTGGAAATAGCTGAAAAATAAGCCGGGAATACACACATAAGAATCACCAAGATTACTTGTTTAAAATATACATAGGGCTTCCTGAGCCTCTGACAAATCTAATGAATTAAATAAAAGTTCTGGTCTCAGGAGGAGCTATTTTTCAAATGCTCCTAGGTGCTTTACAAGTAAAGCCAACTTCTCAGGGGTGCCTCCAAGTGGCAGTTCTTGTGAGCAGTTCTTAACAGCATCTGTGCTATACTGCTTTTGGCAGAGGCAGCACTTGAGCTGTGATGGTAGCTCTTGATGGCTTGGTTCCCTGTGGCACTGCTGGACGTGCATGTTATGTAGCTGTTCCCACCAGACCTCTACCGTGTGGTTGGCCTCAAAGTAATGGAGGCCCCTGCGGTCTGTTGCTTCATACCCTGCAACTCCTATTAGGGAGTTCAGTATCATTTGCTCAAAGCAGGGCAAAGCAGGGTCCCTGCTGAGCCTCCTCTTGGCACTGATGATAGAAAATTGCCCTTCTAAAATAAAACTCTTTTAAGGCTTTTGCTCAAAGCCTCCTTCTTTTTGCAGCCTAGATAATGACATACCCAGTCATATTATTATCTCTCCTATGTTCTCCATTATCCCTTTTTTTGCCAGGCCTTGAGACTTGATACATTATGATTATCTCATAGCCCGGAGTGAGCTTCTCTTCTCCCTTTGCATGCAAGCCCAGGATGCTAGGCTTCAGGGTTAAACTCTTTCTTGGTAGTAGTTGAACTGTTTATCTAGGGGACTGGCAAATTCACATGATTAACATTTGTTAGCCCTTGAAATCAACATGGGGTGGAGCGCAGAGAAGGGGCCAAACCAAACCATGAAGGGAAACAGGTGGGAGTAGCTGGAGTAACAAACAAAGCCAAATTAAAAATCAGAGAGGATGCGGTTAAGGTAAAAGAGGCCATAAGGAAAGGCTAGACATCTCCAGTAATCATATAGACATAGGGCAGTATTGAAGTTTGGATACAGGGGCTGAAATTGAGGGTTTAAATATCCTTTATTAGATGGATGAGAAATTTAGCTAAGGTATCTTTCGGCTCTAATGTTCTAATGATTGTGGCACGTCTTCAAAAATTCTCTAGACAAGTGGCAATGTAATATACTTTAGACTGGTAGATTGGGCATTAGTCACAAGAAGACTATTTCCTATTAATGTTCTAAGCCTAAAACATGAACATTGTTGTCTAACTAGCGAGACATGTTTATTTCACAATGTCTTGTCACATGATTGGGCCTTAAAAATACTCTCCTCTGGGCCAGGCATGGCGGCTCATGCCTGTAATCTCAGAAGATTGTAACATTAGAAGGCTAAGGTGGAAAGGTCACTTGATGCCAGGAGTTTGAGAACAGCCTGGTCAACATAGTAAGACCCTGCCTCTGCAAAAAAATTTTAAACATTAGCTGGGGGTTAATTTTTTAGACAGGAAGATTTCTTGAGCCTAGAAATTTGAGGCTGTAGTGAGCTATAATCAATAAAAAGTTTTTCTTATTTCTTACATATTTAAGGAGTCTTTTGAAGGTCTGAAATAAAATGACCATTCAATGGTTAGTCAAAAACATACATTACAAATTACAGTAAATATTTAGATACTGTTGTCCACATTAAAAATCTATCTAAAATCTACATACCTACTATGTTGCCATAAAAATTAAAAGCATTTTTAAAATCTATTAATGGAAGCATAATACCCATAAATCAATAAAAAGAAAACAAAAAATATATGCATATATTAATAAAAAATGATCGATGCAATGAGAAAACTGTTTCCTCTGTAGTATTGGTCCCCAAAACCCAGAAGCCCAGTTTAGCCATAAGAAAACATCAAACAAACCCAAATTGAATAATATTCTATAAAATATCTCTAAATATGTCTTAAAACTGTCACAGATCAATGACTAACTGCAACATAGTACCTGAATTGGATCCCAGAAGAGAGAAAATGAAATTGGTAAAATGAATGAAACCTAAATAAGGTCTGTGGTTTAGTTAACAATAATGTACCAATGTTAACTTTTTAGTTTTAACATGTGTATTGTCACTATTTAAGACATTATTTCTAGGGGTAGCTGGATGAGGGAATGTGAGGATTCTCTGTAATCTTCATACATGTATGTAAATTAACCTAATCCCCAAATAAAAAAAAATAAATGCATGTGCAACTGTCACTTCTATTTATGGTAGACTATGCAATAAGAGTCAACACTCTTAATGATAACAACGAGACAAACTGGATAAATATACAAAAACATCTGTTTAAAGCCATGTGAGAGCAATCCAGAGGGTGAAGAAAACCTTCTCAACATCAAGGACAAAAGAGATGTCCAGACAGGTGATTGGTACATTGTGACAGCGTTTGTCCTGTGGGCATTTTCCTGTCCAGAGACATGACTAAGAGACTGAGCAGCACTTTTGACAGCCCTACTATATTAGGAAGACAAAAGTTGGATTCCAGCACTGTATGGGTGGGACTCTGGTGATTCCCACACACACTGGCTTGGACTCCAAAGACGGGCAGCATGGTAATGAGCATACACTGGAATTAAAGCAGCTGTCATTGGGTTATAGTACTGCTTTGAATCATCTGAATGGCCCAGAAATTTGAATCCCTGAAATTGAATTAAGATGATCCAGCTTTCCATTGCCTGGCAGTAGCATCAGAAAATCCTCACAGGATGAAGACAATATACTAGCTCTCAAATTATTTCTACACATTCTCTTTCAAATACAACTTCTGTTATACAAAAATAATCAGGCATATAAGAATGTAAAACAGCATAAAAAGAATCAGCTGATGAAAGAAAATAAAATATATCCACAAAGGCCATATATTAGAGTTATCAGACAAAAACTATTGAAAACAATTTTTGCTTTATGCTTAAGGAGAATAAAAATAGAATATTGGAAATTTTAGTATAAATCATATTAGTAAATAAAAATTTTACTACAAATATAAAATTTCAAAGTAAAATGAGAAACAACTTCTATCTGAAAATGAACCAGAGAAATTTAGAAATGGAAAAATATAATAAATGAAATTAAGAATCCTATGAATATTTTCAATAGCAATATTTACATAGCTGAGAAGAGAATTAATGAACTAGAAATAATCAAGAAGTAAATATCTAGGATGAAGATACAGAAAGACAAAAAGACAAAAACTAAAGAAGAGAGTTTAAGAGACATAGTGTATACAGTAAAAAGTTCCAAGTCATTTTAAATTAGAATCATAGAGCAGAGGGAATGGGGAGGAAGCAATATTTAGAGAGAAATACTGATGAAAGACATCACTCTGCAGATATGCAGAAAATAAAAAGGCACAATCTAGAGCAGCATTGTACAGCAGAACTTTGTGCAATAATGGCAATGTTTCATTCTGCCCAATCCAGTGTGGTGGCTGCTAGTCCCATGTGGCTATGGAGCACTTGAAATGTGGGTAGTGCAGCAGAGGAACTAAATTTTAATTTAATTTGGATTAACTGAAATTTAAATTTGAATTACCACATATGGCTAGTGGCTATTGAAGTGGACAGTAAAGATCTGGAGCATCATAGTAAAACTACAGAAGAACAAAGATAAAGATAAAAATATTTGAAGAAATCAGAGAAAAGTCAGTCCAAAAGATAGTAATTACATAGTTGTATTCTCTACATTAGGAATGGAAACCAGAAAACAGTAAAATGTGCCAAAACAAAATAACTGCAAACCTAGAATTCTATATCTAATAACAATATCTCTCAACAATGGAGGTAAATTCTGTTATGCACTGAGTTTAACACAAAGCATTATTGGAGATGAATTTGCATATTGGCTTTGAGACATTTGAGATAAGAGTTGTTCTGGTTTTTCTGTATTCTGAGAAGTTATCTTCTCAATGCACCTTCTTCTACTCAAGCAAGGGAAGACTTATTGCTCTCTGTACACACTACTGTTGTAGTACTTATAGAATCATGTTTTATTTACTGGTTTATGTTTGTTTCTCTTATTTGGCTGTCACTTCTCTGTAAAGTTATGAACATAAACAACTAATAATTGTATTCCAGGGGTTATGTGAAAGCACATAATTTTAAAACTAAAGCTGATGAGTGAGATTTATTTCACAGCCACTTCATCTGGAAAACGTTAGAGACAAGCATCCAAAACTTTTAGGATATCCTCAAATATTGTATGATAGCCAAACTATATTATTTTAGAAAATACCATGCTGCCTTAGAACAATTTGGGCATTGAACTAATTCATCTATTAAATAAATTTAATCCCAGAGAGATTAGATCATTTGACCAAGGTCCCACAAATAACAGGTACCAGTACCAGAATCCAGGTCTTCTAATTCCATGTGTGTTTTTCTACACCATGATATCTCAGAATTAAGATTCTTTCTACTTACATTGGATCCTGTAATACTATATCTCCTCTTAACCATTTTTAAGTTTAGCAATTGTCAACTTTTAAAAATCAGCCTCTAGTCTTTACCAGATTATGATGAAATATTTACCTGAGAATCAGAGACCTCAATTATTATTTCAGTTCTATTATCATTAAGCTGAGAGTCTTGGAGAATATCACTTGTCTATTCAAAAAAGTAATGTATTCCACAAAATAAGCTGTATAAAATGAACAGATAGTCTAAGAGAGGTCTGAATTTAATTCTTATTCTGTATTCCTCTCATTCTATTTCAAATATTTCAAATTACTTTCTGTTCCTTATTTCATTAACTTCCCTATATAGATGTAAGTAAACATGTCACAGAGATAGCTCAATCAGTTGCTCCTAATAGTTACCATCATCAAATAGTTTTTAGTAAGTGTTGTCTAGGAGTGAAAACAGTATAGCCAATTAAAGAAACTAACACATCTTTTTGTTTCATATTGGCAGGCGGATTTGTTCTAAAGAATGGAGAATCATCATTAATTAAAGGAGACAATGGGAGGGTATATGCTTGTGACATGTATGTTACATATCTGCCTAGGTGTATTTTATATTACTTAATGAATTTCTGAATTGAATCATTTTAAAGGTATAGAATAGTCTTAAAATATTAGAGAATTATTAGTCTTGGGTAAACTGAATCTAGGATAAAAAATAATAAAAATTCAACTCAAATATACTCTTTCTGCACTCCCTACTCCCATATCCTCAGGTCAAACTGGCCAGGAATTGGATGCCTCTAGGCACAAAGCAGGTTGAACAGCTGTTTGACTCACTGCATTTGTGTCCTTGTCATTTGGCAGATTGAGATCTCTGCTGAGAGCACCATTTGGAATGTTTTTCCCAAAAACTGGTATTTTTGAACATGTAATTTGAAATGTAGCGAAGCACTGGTATACATTAAAATAATAATAGTGCCTAATGAGAGTCTGACAGATTTATGTCAAAAAGCTAATTTTCTGTAGAAGTGTTTAGAGATAACCCTGGATTGGCTGGGGTGGGCATGATAGAATGTGAATAGGGGTTTTCTAAAAACATGAATATAAAAGATGACACTAGCTTCAGATGTGTGGACTATTGGGGAGAGAATATTAGACATTAATATCAATGGAGATGTACATAATTAGGTAGGATGAAAGGAGGCAGGTCACATATACTAAAGAGAGACAAGCTAGGGAAATATCCTAAAGAGGTATTGAAGAATCCAAGAGGGTTACTAAGTCAAAGTTTGGGTATTTGAGAGAAGACTAATAATAAAAATAATAGTAGTAATGGTTATTATTTCCTTAATGGCAGCAAAACAATAAAAATAGCACTTATCGAGTACTTGGTGTGCATTTCAGCATTGTTCTAATGCTTTAAATATAATAATGCATTTAATCTTCTTGACAATTATATGAGGTAAGAACTATTATCATTATTCCTGATTTATGGGCAATGAAACTGAGGTACAGAGAATTTAAGTAACTGGATCAAGAACATACAACTAGGCTGGAAAATAGAAAACACACACACACACACACACACACACACACAAAACTACACACAACTAATGAGAACAGAAGCCATAGTCAGAATACGTGGCTTAAAATCAATGAATGAATCTAAACTCTTAGCACAGGATGAAAGACACAGGAGAAGTGGAACATATTTGAACTAAGCATATAAACTAACTTGCACATCACTGAGAGCCTAAGATTTCCTGCACATTACCATTCCACAAAGCCTGACTCAGGGAAGAAACCCCACTGTAGCCCTATGTGGTGACAGCAAGAATACATCAAAAGACGGAAAGAATTACTTTTCATTCGAGTCTTTCATGTGGATTACATTTCCTCACATATTCATTTCTTTTGTCTCCATCTTCAGACCAGAGGACACACAAATGTAGGGCCACCTTTACGGTCTCCAATCCTTCTCTAATCATTAGCAATCCTCATTGTGGAGAAAGTCTCTTTATATGTAAAATTAATCATTGACTTTCTAGCTTAAACCTATTTCCTCTTCTCTGATCTTTACTGCAGATGGGAGACACATGAAAGTAGTTAAAATTCTAATCACCTCGGGTTTTCCTTTTTTATTTAATAACTTATTTAAATGTACTTTTGCCAAATCCTATTTTAAAATCTCCCTGACATTAATTACTGATATATATTCAGGTCTTTTTGACAGGCCTATTTCACCTTAAATGTGCTTAAATGGTGAGTTTTCTCATCTTACCTCTCCATTTTCTAAAGGGTGTATCTTGGAGTAAAATGAAGTACAGATGACCTCATTGTCTTTGGCATATGACGGTGGCCCAGTGCGAGGATAAATATTGTAAAGGGTTAGGCACTCTGTGTCTGTTACGGCGTGATACTGCCAGGGCTTGTATTCAACATCATCAAGAGAGCGTTCCAAAATCCAGTTTCCAGGCCGTGGGGAGTTAGCTGCCTTCACAATCACATACGCGATCTGGAACACCTAGGGAAGAATAACAACAACAATAATGTTGAATTCCCAAATATTCTCATAATTTTATGTCAAATGTAAGTCTAAATACTACAGATTTAATTTCAGATCTTATTCTATAATCCTATAATGTTCTATTATAGGTTCATATTTAATAACTTTTTTGCTAAGAAGTGACGTTTTGTTTTGACAACCATGGGTTTAAAATAAAAGGATTAAGACTGGATTTTGGTTTTGTAACAACTCATTGGCAACATTTTACATCATTTTTAAAGTTCCATTATAATCATTACCACCCAGAGCATTTATTAATATTACATACCAATTTATTCACCTTAATATGTTAAAGACTATAAAATACAAGTTAGAAATTCCCAGTGTGAATAGTGCCTGATAGTTTAGAAAACATGTTTATTTATATCACATAATCCTCAAAAAAGTGCCATTTAGATGGAGTTAGTATGGTACAGCAAAAACAATATAAACACATTCCTATGTTCAGATTGTGGTTCTAGAATTGTGGCAATAAAGCCTCAATAAATGTCCATTCCTCTACATCCCAAAATAGAAAGCAATGGAGGAGAAATTCAGTGTTATGAAGACAACTGATTGAACCTGAAACATACTAAATGAAGGGTTTCTGTACCTTCTCTTTACAAAAAGTAAACGTGCAAGAAAAGGGGTGAAATAAAGAGGTGTTACCGTCAACAGAGTGACAATGGAGAGGAATGTGGCAATGCTCCATTTACACATTTGAATAGAATTTGAAGATATAAAACAAGAAATATTTTATATTTCTTGAGGTAGTGCATATCTGTGTCTTTCCCACTATAGTCCAAAATATAGTGCAGAAACATTATTGAATGACATTTATGTACAATATTCTAGGTAGAAAGACAAATACAAATTAGTTTGAATTACTATCCCATCATCAATGGGTTAATACATTGTAATAATGAGACATATGAAAAGTGCTATATTAATAAAACACCATGCTATGTTCTTGACTAGTAAATGCTATGAAGTATGAGAGCTTAGTAGTTCTAAGCTCTAAGTGGATGGGGTCACTGGAGGGGCACAATTGGTAGGACAGGTTCGCTACAATGTGATTAACAGGCCTGCTGAGCTGCAGAGGGAATCCTCAAAGGGATGCTCTAGAAATGAATTGTATTTGCTTTATAGCTTTGACATGGTACCTCATGCATACATGTATAGGACCTATGGTATGCCCTAAGGGACTAGATTTTAAAATATAAAAAGTTGGTATGGAATGGGGAAATACAGGTGGCTCTGATGCTAGTCCTTCGAGATCTTTACTTGAATGCAGGCACGCTTGAGAGCAGTGGAAGGGAAATCAGCCATCAAATGAGTCAAAGAAGGGTTAGTCTTAGCCTTTGAGCCACAGCTGTGGAACTACTAACTAATGGCTAACATACTGAAATGCTTCTGTACTTGTTGACAAATCACTGCAGCCCAACCTCCCAAACGCCTCCTCTTCACTGAGACCATCTGATTGACCAGAGCATAGCAAGGACAGCCAAGATATTTGTTCTCAGGGATTCTGCATTTGAGCACTCCATTTTATTGAGTATCACTGCAGGTGGAAATACTGATGAATTTATATTTACAACGGCTTATAGATAAGCACAACTGCAGATGGACATACATACCTATGCATGCACCTATAACTGTTTGAATATGCCAAGACATTTTGAGAGGAAATATGTGAACATATGAAAGCTGCTACCTCTAGGAGTCAAGGAAAAATTAGGACTTTTTTTTTCCAACCTGTATTCTGCTATATTATTCGTATGAACATAAATGTTTTATTTTTAAATAAAATTATCTTTAAAATAAAGACAAAGTAAAACAAGTCACAGAGAAAGGGCAAAAGTGGGAGCAAAATAGAAATGGATGTTATATCAACCATTATAAGAGATATTTGCTACTTGTGCATTTTTAGGTATTATTCATAAGGAATTGTTTTTTAGACAGTTCATATTGAACAACTCATCACATAGAATTTCTTTATATAAAAATTCACCAAGAAATTTACCAATTGATTAATCTTATAAAACGCACAGAGTTGTCTCTACTATAAAATATGAAATGTCCCAGGTTCAAGCAATTCTCCTGCTTCAGCCTCCCAAATAGCTGGGATTACAGGCATGTGCCATTGCACCCAGCTGATTTTTGTGTGAGTGTGTGTGCATTTAGTAGACATGGGGTTTCACCATGTTGGTCAGGCTGGTATTGAACTCCAAACCTTAGGTGATCCATCTGCCTCAGCCTCCCAAAATGCTGGGATTACAGGTGTGAGCCACCACACCTGGCCAGCTTTTACATCTTTAACCCATTTCCCACTAGAAAAAAAAAGTACAGCTCGCTGCCAGCTTTCATTTAATTTTACATAAACACGTTCTTTGAAGCTGAAGCAAATATGATTTTCAAGGTGAAAATAAAATATAAAACTGTTCTTAGTTATTTCTAAACAAACTTATGTCTAATTCTAATGTAACAGAAATGTATATGATGATCAGAATTTAATAATATTTTTATGTAGGAATGCTACCTTTTCCAGGATCTAACATTTTCAACAATCAAGAATTACCATTATTTTGTATATGGAAATACTACTACCAAAACAGAATGCTATAAATAGAATGATGTCTTTTGTTTCCAAAGTCAATATACTAGACCAATGCAAAAAAATAATAATAAAAGTGAAATATGTCATGGCAAACTTTGGGGCTAAGGTTAGAACAGTAATCCACAAGTTATCTTGGGGTAAACACTGCAGCCGCAAGTGCTGCCAGAGGGTATTCTTGGAGCAAACAAGAAATGGGTTAAAGATGCTGTATTCCTTATTATAATTATTCTGAAATGGTGGGCATTTGATATTGATTACATTTAGTTAAATAGCCAAAATCACTGTAATGTGCTTCCACGTTACAGTTATGAGTTTAACACTGGGCTTTTCTGTTTGTTAGAGCTTGGATCCCAGTTGGTATATTTTGCAACCTGCAGGAACTAAGGCATACATTCCTGGAGTGTTTTTCCTATTAGATCTCTGTCAGCTGAGAAAATTACTTAAACTCTTTTACCCTCTGTTGTCCATTGTTTCTTTTCTAAAGACACAACCAGGGAAGAGATAATGAGATAATGAATACAAAATACTGCAGGCTCTTGTGAAACAGAGAATCTGTATAAATATTTCAAGTGAGGCTGTTTCCTTCCAGAAGAAAAAAACATAAAAACATAGAGATATTTTTTAAAGATATAACATAAAAAGAGAGATAACAAAGCATATTAGAGATCACAGGTATTCAATAAGAAAAATAAGACTACACTAAGGTGATGGATAAAGAACTTTGCTTAGAAAGCACTCAGCATGCAAATATGAAACAAGGCCAAGTTCTCATGCAGCTACAATATGGATTTATGGCTTCATAGCTCCTGTGTTGGCTCTGGAATAATAGATTAAAAAGTAACCCATGAAGAGAAGTTCTACTAGAGACCCCACAGACTCATTCTATAATTCAACATAAGAGCCAGCAGTAAGTGACATGGAAAAGCAGTCACTGCCTCAGAGAACACTGAATGAGTCCTATTTCAAAACAATATCCCTCTTTCATTTATTTTCTATGCGTTCTTTCACATTCCATGCAAAATTAATTAAATTTGTTGGCATGGAATTTCTTTTGGACTTCTTAAATGACTTGAAAGTCATGTAGTTTTTCAGTAAACTTTCAAAATATAGTATATAGCCTTATTAAAAATGTAATAAATAGCAGTATTCTTAGCAGGCTTTAGAGAATAACTGTAAAAATTTTAACAGTGACTTTTTAAGTACTGTACTCCAAATATTTAACAGCCCTAATAAAACAACTCTCTAATGTTATCTATCCTACTTTTATTAACTGTGTCTTGTTTTCATTATAAAGACTCTTCAAAATCAGTAGTTATAATACCTCATTTCCAAACAATTAACCCCCAACCCCAATCTGTTCTCGTGTGCAGCAAGGAAAGCAAATACCCCATTTATTACTATTAAAATGCTACAACTGCTAGGGTTTGAGTAACCTAAGATAACATCTCACGATACCCAAGTATTTTTTCTGTTGAAGGACACTTGTTACAAACTTGATGTCTTTAAAAGAATCCCAAATAACTTTAAAAACAAGTGTTTGACAATTTACCTAACAAAGGGAACATTCTATTTCATATTCCATTTGTTACTCATTTGCATGTCATCTAACAAAATACCATTTAATTACTGATGTAGCATTGAATTAGATGTTTCTTCTATAAAAAGAAGAGTATTAAGAACTTGATCTCATTTAGTGTGGAAAGGGAGAATAGGGTCTTTCTAAAGAATCCTTTAGTCTTAAAATAATAAGCAATGTACAATAATCATCCCATAGTTATGCTTTCTAATCTTTTTATTTATTTATTTATTTATTTATTTATTTATTTATTTGAGACAGAATTTCACTCATGCTACCCAGGCTGGAGTGCAATGGCACAATCTCGGCTCACCGCAACCTCCGCCTCCTGGGTTCAGGCAATTCTTCTGCCTCAGCCTCCTGAGTAGCTGGGAGTACAGGCACGCGCCACCATGCCCAGCTAATGTTTTGTATTTTTAGTAGAGACGGGGTTTCACCATGTTGACCAGGATGGTCTTGATCTCTTGACCTTGTGATTCATCCGCCTCGGCCTCCCAAAGTGCTGGGATTACAGGCTTGTGCCACCGCACCCGGCTCTAATCTTTTTAATATCATGGCTAAGGTAAAATGATATTTGTACAGCACTGGGGTTTTTACCAGTGCTTAGGAACTCTCATAGCCTGAAGTGAAGAATCCAGGAATTCTGGTTACTCTAGACCCTGCCCTGCAGCTGAATATCTTAGTTCATCTATACCTATGTCAGTAAGCCTGAAAACAAGAAGCAATTTCTAGTACATGCATTGCTAGGTCTTGATTTAAAAAAAAAAAAAATCCTCTATGATTCTC